ATTTACCCTTTTGACCTTCTGGTCCTTCACATTCTAAAACATGTTCACTCTGTTTCACTCCAGTCATAGTACCAATCCCAGTGAACATAACAGACACATCTTTTAATACTCGTTCGGATGGCCAATGATGAGTAGCCACAATTGAAACGTCAGCCCCAGTATCAACCAAGCCTTGTAATTTATGTCCTTCAATGGTAACGATCATTTGTGGTCTTTCATCATTAATAATGGTATTCCAATATATATTTGATCCTGTACTGCCAAAACCTCCTTGTCTCTTTATAGGAGCAGCCTTTTGCTTAATATATGGTAGCAACAATAACTGAGTGATTCTTTGACCTTTTTGTAGATTCTGAGGCTGTCTAGTAGATACCATTATACTTATTTCAATAATTCCCAGATGAACAAAGATACCCTTACTGGTCAAACTACTTCTTCCAATAATTAATCCAACACTATTTTCTGGAATGGGTCCAAAAATATTAGTAGGTATCTTATAAACTCCCAATTCTGGTACAAGAGTAATCTTATCTTATGAGCTATAGCTAATGCTGCACTTACCAAGGTGGCATGAAACAAGTCTGAGACATACTGTCTTTGCTCACAGTGAGATACTGCTGGCAGCTTGCATTGTTTGTTGTGGGGCCCCGAGCTGACAGGCCCCCTCAGAAGTTTCCCGACCCAGTCTTAACACCTTGTTTATTGAATAAAGATCTACATTCATTAGTCCAATGATATCCTTTTCCACATTTTCTACAAAGCCCTAAAAGCCTGAATTTTTTACTCTCCCTTCTTTCTTTCTGACAGTCTCTTTTCAAATGTCCTAATTTCCACAATTGTAACATTAAGTTTGGGACAAATTTAAAGTTCTTTTAAAACAGCTTTGTTTCTTAGCATTTAAGAAAGTCTAACCTTTTGGATTTCACAGGTAGTCAGTCAATAGAGGGTATAACTTTTCTCTTTACATCCACTCCGAGAACTAAGTTGCATTTTCTCTTTTATCTGCTTCCAAACTTCTAGTTCATCTATCTATGCAGCTGTGAAAGATTGGTTGTCTCTTTATTGTTGGCATGCTGGACTACCAAAAATAAAGAAAAACTAGCCATCTTTCAAATGCAGTCTATTTTTAAAAAGTTTTTACTAATTCAGAGATTTTTATCTATGTTAAAATTTTTTCAGCTGCAGCTTCTAAATTTATCAATTTTTAGAACTTATTCTTTGCTTACTTCATCTTCCAAATCAAGATTTTTCTCTT